AAATAAAACCTAAAGGACGTCTGAGCAAAAGTCCGTGAAAGTTGAAAGAGTAAGTCTGGAGGGACAGTTGCTAAGGTAGAACTATCAGCCTTGACCCCGGAGTCTGGAAGACAACCATACTTTCTGATTTTATTTCCAGCTTGCAATAGAAATGTTTATGTGAACCTAGACATGAAAGGCATGAACTATAACAGCTCTATGACCAAGAGTGCTCAGGAATGCCAAGAGAGGTGCACGAACGACATGCACTGTCACTTTTTTACATTTGCAACAAGGCACTTCCCAAGCGTACAGCATCGGTGAGTGAGCTATTGACTGAGCCTGGGGGACCCTTAGGTGATCAGATGGAAAGCAAAATGGGATTCATTAATTTTTTTTTCATCAACTTGATGCCAAAATTTATTTTTACCCCTTACAAGACAATTCTTTCATAAGTGTTCACAGTTTTCCTGGTGGAAAATGCATTTTAAAGTCCAACTTGGATGCATTTCACTTTATAGCACAGAGTCTGTCTTTTAACAATGCTTATAAAAAATGCTTCATTCATTTCCTAGTTAATCTATAGAGTGCTACATTTTTAAACTGGCGAACTTGAAACACTTATAAACAATGAGTGTCTGACTGTTCCATTCCCAGCCTAAAGGATGCTAGTTTGAACCTGCAGAATCAAAAAGAAAAATCTACTCAGATATCCTTCGACATAACAGTTCCCCTCTTGAGACAGAAACTGAAACTCATGTGAAATATTTTAAAACCTATCTCCTCCTGGATTTTGAAATATTCCAGGGATAAATCTGTTGTGTAAGAATATAAAAAGATCTGATCTGTAAGAGCTTAATCTGTTATCTCCTAAAAATATTTTTAGGGAAAATATCATAAACTTTTAAATTTAGAAATATTTGAGATATTCCAGATTTGTGTAGTAACCTATACTTATCTGACATCCAACAATGAAAGAAAAGTTCAAGTGACTAATATTTGGATTTTAATCTTCTGCGCTACACATTCACAGAAAGGAGATGAGTGGAAATGGAGCATCAAAGATTTATTCAAAGAATAGCCATGATAACACAAAATGAAATCCTCAGATTGATCATTAAACTTTCCTGGCTTGTCTTTAGCTCAGCTCACACTACGCTTTTTTACATATTTTACGTCTAAGACTCAACATAATGTGAACAGCAAGCCAGGAAATCAGGAGTTGTGAGACATTATTAAAAAGTTAAAATGAAAAAAAAAATAAAGTTGACAGAATTGACAGGACCACCCACTCCTGGTGGAGCTAGGACGCGAGACCAGCTGTCCAGCCTCTCAGCTCAATGCTTTTCAGAGCAATTCTTTAGCTAAAATGCCCAGACGTCTCTAAACGGGAATGTCTTATTATCTTACGTTTTTTTCCCTACCTGCATTTGGAGGGATAAAATATTTTTCCATTTTTGTCTCTATTCAGTAACGTTTGCCTACTGAAGTACACCCAAACGGGGACGCCAACCAGCATAACGAAGCTCGGGCACGTGGTGTCTGGATTTTCACTGAAGTCCTGTGCACGTTCGAATCTGGGTAACTGTTATTTCCTTACTGAGGTGGGTCAGCCGTTACATAGCAGGGGCCGGAGATGCGTACGATGGGCCTAACTGAGGGTACCAGTTTGTGCTCGCTGATGGAATGGACCCAGTGATCTTTTAACCTTCTCCATATGAAAAATTTCATTATGTTCTGAATGATTAAAGCTTATATTTGAATTTAAAGCTTCAGCTATCCTAATTTTTAAAATGTAAATAATCTTGGGATAAACACACTTTTGAACAGTTACTGTTAAGACTTCAGTGCAATTTTGGGTTCACAGCAAAACTGGGGGGAAGATGTACAGATTTCCTACATCCTCCCTGCCCAGACAGGCAGAGTCTTCCTCCGCTGTCAGCATCCCCCACCAGAGCGGTACCTTTGTCACAACTGCTGTTTCCTACACTGACACATCATACTCACCCAAAGCCCATGGTTTTACATTATGGCTCACTCTTGGAGTTGTACATTGTGTGGGCTTGGACAAATGTATACTGGCATGTTTCTGTCGTTAGAGTATCATTCAGAGCGTTTTCACTGCCTTAAAATTCCTCTGTGTTCTGCCTGTTCAAACCTCTCTCATCCTCCAACTAACTTTTTACATGGAATTTACAAACACCATGACTGGGACTTTATCAGTGCTACTGGTGAACTGATTTCCTGAATACAGTTTCCTCTGTCGTGCAGCTTGTATTCGGGACATTTTCCCTCAAACAGTGTTTGCAGACAGCAACATTGACGGGGTCATGGCTCCAGATGCCTTTGTCTGTCGCAGCATTTGTACTCACCACCCCAGTTGTTTGTTTTTCACCTTCTTTTCTCAAGAATGGCCAACAGAATCCGAAAGGTAAGGAGCTAAGATTGTGTTGTGTGTTCGCTTTTAAAACAGTTGATCAAAAGCCATCATTAAAGATTCTGAGCAGCTACAAATTTCATCTAAACGCCTGTCTAGGATCGATCAAAGTTGCCAAGAAGAATTCCCAGCTCCTCCCTCTTTCCGTTCCCCACCCACTGGACACGAAGCCAGTCTTACCCAGGACTCTTGCTTTTCCTTAGGTCAGGGAGGTCTCTGCCTTCAGCAAAGGGACAGCTCTAGTTCTGAATGGAATGAAGAAAATAAGGAACAGTCAGTCAGTAAGAGGCATCTTAGTCCAATGCCTGGTTTAAGATAATTGAACCTGGAGCAGAAAGAGGTGGAAATATCAGTGACACGTTAAATCGGAAGTCAGGGGTGGGTGGGTGGAAATGAAGGCCTTCATCAACAGAACGGGGAGTGATGGTGGTGGGAGAGCTGAGAACCGAGATCCTGTTTCCCTACTGTTGGGTATTAACACAGGAAACCATAATAAAGCACAAGTTCTATGCTCGTCAAAGGGAAGTTTGCTGGGGTTGCTGCCCCTCATTAACAAGATTCACTTAAAAAAAAAAAAGAAAAAATTTGGTGGTTAAGTCTGCTTGAAAATCAAGATTCTGTATGTTCCCTGAATCTGAATCCTCAGAGCTCTAGGCATTTGTTTGTCACGGCTCCCTGTTGGGGAGAGTGTCCCCCAGATCAACCTAGCCAAGGTAAGCCCTTGAGTTGCTGCCCATCGGGCAAGACTTCTTTTTTTTTTTTTTTTAATTCAGTGGAGACATAATTCCAGAAATACTAGGTTTGCCACATGAAAAGATATCTGTTACTTTCATTTTCTCAACATGGTTCCACATGCAGGGAGACCATTAATGAACTAAATAGATAAAAACCTTGTGCTGCTTGGACTAGAGTGGAAGTAAAAGAGAAGTGATCAGATTGGGATATATTGTCAGCATAGAGCCGATAAGAGCTGCTATGGACTGGATGCTGGCTAGCAAGGGAAGGGTCAGTGAGAGCGCCAAGATTTTGGGTCCAAGAAAATTGGAAGGATGGAAATGCCAATGAAGGGGCAGATTTCCTGAGGAGCTGACTTCAAGAGGGGGGAGATGCCTGGTAGACGGCCAGAGGGAAAGGTTGAGTTGGCAGTTAGACAGAGAAGTCTGGAATTAGGAAGAAAGGCTTACGCTCTACATCTGTGTTTGGGTGTCACCAGGTTGCAACTGGCAATGAATGCTATTGAAACTGGTGAGATATCAAAGGATTGAACCCAGTCAGAGAAGACAGGAGGTCAAAGATGGAGCCTTGAGGCATTATGAATTTCAGAACTTAGAAAGATGCCTTTGTAATGTGCTATTTTGTCTTAATCACAGCTCTTTTTCTTTTTCATTCCTTTTATAAAATTCCCAGTCACTACTGACACATCTGATCCTCATTACCGGGTGAGAGAGGAACGTGGGGGTTAGACGCCGAGACTTGGCATCTTACATTTAAATTAATGAATATTAAACACAACTATTAAATAAAACAAGATTCACTTCCTCGTCTGTCTTCGCCACATTTCAGGGACTCAGCACATGGCTGGCTCGTGGCTGTTGTACTGGCTGGCAGAGACATGGAATATTTCCACCACTGCAGAAAATCCTGTCAGACTGCACCGCTCCAGGCTGTGACTGGGTGCTAATTAGGAGAAGTTGCTTCCTCCCGGGAAGGTGCTGCCTGGGTGTGGAGCCTGTCCTGGATTTTGCTGACCCCCGTCTAAGCTTACAGCAACTCTGGGTCACAGATTTCTAGGTAGCACGAAAATTCTTGAATCTCTGAGATGGGCTGGAAGAGTTGAGAGAAAGGAAGTGAGTCAGGAAGGTGCCAGGAACACTGACAATCTGTATGGAAGCAGGCGGTTTAGTTTGGAACATCTGTCTGCCACCTATGGACCATGGAGCCTGACTCAGACTCAGCCATTTACGAAGAGTACTTTCCTCCCTATGAAATGCCAACATGAGCTGACGTCAGTACCTGCTGTAAAAAGTGTTTTTGTGTGTGTGTGGTATACTTTATATGATCTATCTATATTTCCCTTTTTGTCCTTTAGAAATCTTTGTCTCCTTAAAACTTCTAAAAGTGGCTTGCCAAGCACGCGCATTAGGAGGAACAAAGCTCTTTCTGGTTTTAGTCTACAGAGCTGCAGGCACAGCATCCCAGGTAAACGATGCTGCTCTTTCTGAGGAGATCGGCAGGTGGGAGCTAAGGTTCCGTGTCTCGCGTCTCATGTGTGCTCTGCTGTCCAGTGTTCTGTCACTCTTCATTCTACCACGACACTGACTTCTTGGGAGAAGAACTGGACATTGTGGATGTGCCTGGGCACGAAGCCTGCCAGAAAACATGTACCAACACCATCCGCTGCCAATTTTTTACCTATTCTCCATCTCAACAATCTTGCAATGGAGAGGGGTAAGATATGGGATGAGTTACATCCATGCTCCTGTCCTGTCTCGTTCAGGGGGCCTTATGTTTATGTCATTTTGTTTCCAACCTGCAGGGGTAAATGTTACTTAAAACTTTCTTCAAATGGATCTCCAACTAAAATACTTCGTGGGAGAGGAAGCATCTCTGGATATACATTAAGGTTATGTAAAATGGATAATGGTGAGTTTAATGTCACTTGAAAAATATACATCTGAAGGAGTTCTTTTACACCAACTATGTCATCATGAAGAGAGTCAATAATAGCCACAGAGGGCAATTAGTAAAATAATGAAGTTAGAAGCAATTTTCCATTATTTTCAGTGCTATCACCCCAGCTGACCATGTTTTAAAGGTAAATACTGGGTCTTGACTAACTCTGTGTTGCCTGGTATTAATCAACTGTGTGTTTTAATTTGACACATTTATACAACTGGTATTTCCTGGTGAGACGGGCTCAGCCAGTACTTTTATGTCTGATTCTTGTTATCAAGGTCAATGATCTTTCTTATTATCCTTTATAATTGAAGTATCATCCAGCATCTTGGTTAATCAGATGATTCATTTTCCTTCTATTGGCTGTTACCTGATCTTATTGAAATACATTTCCAATACACTTGGAAAATTAGGTATCTATTCAAGAAATACTCAAGTATTCTCCAGGGCTTCTAGATTTCCTTTAGATTTCCTGCAAATGTTCTGCATACTTACGAACATTAGGAAATGCTACAGTAAAACCTTATTAATTTGTAACAATGAGTATGGTAGGGTGGAGATAAGATTATCTATATCAAACAAGACCTATAATAGTATAAAAATTACAGTACACATCAGTTCAGCAGTACTTCCCTTCCACTGGCCAGTTTCTGAGCATAGTGACAAAAAATGGTTTGCAGGCCAATGACATTGTCTAAGGGATGGCACAGGACAGAGCCTAATACATAAACTCTTCCCTAAATTATTCTAATGACCGATTATGACTTTAGTATTCGCTGATTTACATACACTACATGTTTTTAGACTTTTATTGCTTAATGTCCAATATTATAATGTGGTCTAAATTAACTTGCAACTAAGATTTAATGAGTGAAATGGAAGTGATAATTATGTTGTGTAATAGGTTTCAAAGTATAAAAATCTTATGTATGAGCTATATTGGCTCCACTGAGAGGTAACTAAATCCTTAACTTCTGAGAACTTGTTTTGTAGAACATGCAGTATTATACTGTGTCCAATATGAACATCCTGGCCAGGAAATGATGCCTTCCTAGAGCTTAGAGGGGCTCTGGTGGGGATCTTTGGAAGGCTCGAGCTTCTTTTAAAAGATAGTCAGTTAAGTTGTATCTCAGACAGCCTCTGTTTTTCTTACAATAAATGTACCTAAGAGAAGAAGGCGTGTTTACAATAATTCTGTTGTCTTAGTGCCACTAATGCAATGGAAAGGATGCAGCAAATTTTGTTGTTAGTGGCACTGACATAGTTTAGAAAATGGGAACCAACACTTATACCTTAAAATTCAGAATCCACCCCCCACCCTCCTTCCTTCATTATGCTTTTCTCTAATGAATCTATGGACTCTGGCCTCTAGAGGTTACAGAATATATCAGGAATAGATTGAGAGCTAAAGCAGAAAATATAAGATAAAGGAAAATAAAATCTTATGTCTTTTTAGTGCACCTTCTGAAATAAGTGAAACTAGATAATTAGGTTTTGCTGCACTATATTGGATGAAATAATCCCCTAATAGGAGAGGGACTGTCGAACTGAGATGTTTATCATATCTTGTACTGTCATTAGTCTACAATATAACTTAACTTTCTGTAGACACAGAGCAATTGCCATCAAAAGAACCATCTCTTAACACAAAGAACACCTCGTAAGGCTAAACACAGGTATTTTCAGCATTTTGTTTGAGCTGAGAAACCAAATAGAATGAACACCAAGACCTGTAACTCATCCTTAATAAGGTCTTTACTGAGTTGTTCCTAACATATATTAGTTCCTGCTAACTTATTAATTTTCCTAAGCTTTGCCTTTTAGGCCACTTCCCAGCTTGCAGATTACAAGGGCTTTCCAGTAATTCCAGAATATAGTCAAACTCTTCAAAACAGTCCTCTGAAACTAATCTTCACCCTTTAGACTCTCAAATGAGAACTCTCTTCTAGCAGACTGATAGTCCTGTTCAGGCATTCACAGACACATCATGCTTGTTTCCACTTCAGCTTGCCACCAGCTCATGTTTCCTTTAAAACTCATGACCCTGTCCTCTCCTTCTATTTGAAATCCGCCCCAGAATCACACACCGTTTCCTGTGGAGGAAAGAAAGGCCTAGAGAGGTTGTTTTATGCTGACAAAACTAGTGAGGGGAGCATCTAGGACTCGGCTTTTGACCAGTGACTCTTCCGCTAACCTCACACCACGTCGCGCTCCACCTGTGTCTAAGGACGATGGAGCATCCCTGATCCACTGAGCCTTGCTGTTCTCAGTATGGTCTTGGGCATAGCACCTTGGCATCACCTCGGAGCTTGCTGGAAAGAATTTCAGGCCCTGCCACTGACTGAATCAGAATCTGCATTTTATAAGCTAACCAGGTGATCCACATGCACATTAAGACAGGAGAAGCACTGGTCTAGAGAAATGCCGTCTGTGATCGCCTCACTCCCTTTCTGTCTCAGTTACTGGGGCAGGTTTGGCCAAGGCTCCAACCGGGAGGGTGGGCACTTGTGTTTGGCATCCCAGGAAGTAGGAGGAGAATGGGCTCTGCTGCTCACGGTGGCCAAGACAAGAAAGAAGCAGAGGGGTGAGCTGGAATCAGAGTCCTTAGGAAGTATCAAGGGTTGAGCGGAGAATCCCAATCTGTCAACAAGACCAAAGGGCAGAAGCGATTCACAAACAGAAGAGCAGCCAGGTTGGGTGTGGGTGGAGCAGGAGAGACTGGGACCAAAGGGCAGCCCCGAGTGGAAGGGATGGAGGAGGCGATTGGACAAAGGCTGCAAACTGAGTGGAAGTTGCTCCACTCTTCTTTGTAACCATAGTTCTCAAACGTCAGCAGGGCTGATTAAAACTCAGATGACCGGGGTCCACTGCCAGAGTTCCTCATTCACTGGGCTTGAGGTAGGGCTCAAGGACACGCATTTCTAAGAAATTCCCAGGTGATGCCTTGGTCTGGGGGCCACACTTGACAACCACTGCTTTAAAAGAACCACTGGGGTTATCATGTGAGGGAGGGTAAGGCTTACTCATAGTCCCAGATGGGGCATTATCTGGGGGTGCGTAATCACAGGGTTGACTCCCTCATTCAGTTTTTATCTGCGTCTTGTGCTTTGCCAACTTGATTCCAAAGTTTCTTCAAGTCAAGGTCATGGTAAAGTATTGAATCCAGGGAAGGTTTCCTTCCCCATGTACCTGAAGGAACATGACGACTGCTGGAAAGTGAAGATTTAGGAAGCTGCTCATTGCAATCCTTCTGTTGTAGCATGTACCACCAAAATTAAGCCCAGAATTGTTGGAGGAACCGAGTCTGTTCATGGTGAGTGGCCGTGGCAGATCACTTTGCACATTACCTCACCCACCCAGAGACACCTGTGTGGAGGCTCCATCATTGGAAACCAGTGGATATTAACAGCTGCTCACTGTTTCAACGAGTCAGTACCATTACTGTTTTTACTTGTTCATATGCTCACACATATATTAAATCTATCCCTAGTATTTTAGCACATATTTAAAAGATGTAAATTACCCTATTTACTAAATTAACTTTCTATCTTTAGTGGGAAAAAAGCAAAAAGGAAGAGCCATCATGGTCTACCAGCATCAAAACAGATGCAGGAATGTGGCTGTTTGCATACTATTCCACTGTCCCATTTAAATGTATACACATCCCCAGGGGAGTTCTTGTTATTTCTTCTTAAGAGCATACCATCTTTGGTGGCTGTCCTCAGCACTGTGTCCCTAGAACGAAATTCAAAGAGAACTTCTTATTCCCTGAAACGAATTTCCCACTTGTTCTCGCTCTCCTCCTCCCTCCCTGCCTCCTCTGCCCCCTCCTCCTCCCCCTTCTTCTTCTCTCTCTCTGTTTTTAGACACACAAGGAATTGTTCACCATGCATCCTCAAACTGGATTCCCTGCTTAGGTCAAATTCAGTCCCAGCCAAACATAAAAGCTCCACTGGGGGAGCACGTGTATCCCGGGAAATTTCAGTTGGCCAAACTTCCACTTTGCACTTCTGTACCTTCTGAGTTGTTTCCGATCGCAGTTTTGTGGTTTTCTTAGGTTTATTTTATCAGTATGCAGCTTATTCATAGTATAACTCAGGGATGCACTTGAGGACAATCGTCTCCATTACCTTTTACTTATGGGACGGTGGAGTACCAGGAGGCCAAGTGAATTTCTCAGGGTCACAGCCAATCAACACCAGCACTGAAACAAACACCCAGAACTCTTCGTGTGTGTGTGTGTGTGTGTGTGTGTGTGTGCGCGCTGGAGGGAGGAAAAAGCATTCACTGATTTTTGTGTGTTTAATATAAGGTACATGCTAGCTTAGGACCTTCCATGTAGGAGAAATTTGTGACTGACAAACCTCAGCATGAAATCACTTCTTTCCGCCTAAAACCCCACCCCTGGCAGAAAATATTAGCTGGTTAGTAACAGTCAGTTAAATGACAATATACCCCAAAGTTTGGGAATCCTTTAGTAAAGGAATTTTCTTTTCCGGTTTTACTTACTCCTTAGGGTAGAGTCACCGAAAGTGTTGCGTGTCTATAGTGGCATTTTAAATCAATCGGAAATAAAAGAGGATACATCTTTCTTTGGGGTTCAAGAAATAATAATTCATGATCAATATGAAATGGCAGAAAGTGGATATGATATTGCCTTGCTGAAACTGGAAACGACAATGAATTACACAGGTATGGAAACATTTCAAGGGAAAGTTATGTACAATGATGACGTAGAGACAATGTCCCCCACTACCTGATTCATGGCCCGACCCTGGCGAGCTCTCCCTGTGTTGTTATCATGAAAGGGAGAGGGCCTCAAAGCTAATCCTGACTCCTTCCTGATGACTGAATCTTATTTCGGGGTGTGGGTGAAATGGTAAGTTTTCTCCAGGCTTCCTCGGGTGCACAGAATGACTTTATAATATATTGGAATATGAACCAGATGATTTGTATCCCCTTTTGAGGGAAGAAAGGTTTGCAGGTCAGAACGAGGAAGCAAGCTCTACAGGGTCACAGACCTCGCCAGGGTGATGGAGCTGGGGGGGGGGCGTGGCTTGTCTTCCCCCTGTTCCCTCATCCTGGGATGTGATAACACTGAACACGAGGAAGGAAGATGTATGACCAGGAGGCAACAAACGAATATAAGAAACAGAGAACACACTAAATAACAGAAAGTGAAAGAAGAGAATCTCCCCTGGGAAAGAAGATGTATTTTGTTTCTGAAAACTAAATTATGATTTTAAAAATTTAGATTTTCAACGACCCATATGCCTACCTTCCAAAGGAGACAGAAATGTAATCTATACTGATTGCTGGGTGACTGGATGGGGGTACAGAAAATTAAGAGGTAAGAAATGAGGTTTCTCTGTACACTTCATCCTCAATGCACACAATACAGCATATTCACAGCCTTTCCTGCTATACCAAGTCATACGGCTAAAATGAGAGTATGATAATGACATATCCAGTTGCAAAAAGTATATTAATAAAGACGGAAAGACAAAATCACCCCCGTGAAGATGATACCATGTCTGTTTGATTAGAAATTTTAAATATGACAACCTCTTTAAAGATTAATTATTTTTAATGAAGTTTAATTTGAAACCTAGCACTTTTCAATAAATGTCCTAGCCTGTAATCCAATTATTTCCTCTGGGAAGTCATCCCAGCTCGAGCCATAATTGATTTTGAACTTAATTAACATTAACAAAATGGTACTCACCATGGTGAGAATAACTTCTTCTCTACACTCTGTAATTATAAAAGGTCTATGAGGTAAACCTAATTTTTTTTCCTTCCAGATTTTGAGATAGGTATGGCTTTGATTTTAAATATATATACTTATATTTAAATTTAATTTATATTATATATGGTTATTCCATTAACAAGTCAAAAATTGTTTTCAGACAGAATACAAAATACTCTCCAGAAAGCCAAGATACCCTTGGTGACAAACGAAGAGTGCCAGGCAGGATACAGAGGGCATAAAATAACCAAGAAGATGATCTGTGCAGGCTATAAAGAAGGAGGGAAGGATGCTTGTAAGGTAACAGTGTCCTGAACCAACTGAATATATTCAAATTAGAATGTTTAATGCTTTTAAAGCAGTCTTCTGCCAATGAGCGGGGAACACGGTGGATTTGTTTTCCTTACACTGAAATCTGATGTGGGTAGACTGGGGGGAAAAAACAAATAATCTGGTTCTTTGAAGTTTATTAAAGGGTGAAGACAGAATTTTAGGTGAAATCACTCTGAGGAAGACGTATTTAAGATGAGAAGCACCTGAATGGCTCTGCGTGACTTTTCTTTTCTCTCCTTGTCACAGGGAGATTCGGGGGGCCCCCTGTCCTGTAAACACAACGAGGTCTGGCATTTGGTGGGCATCACGAGCTGGGGTGAAGGCTGCGCCCAAAGGGAACGGCCAGGTGTTTACACCAATGTGATCGAGCACGTGGACTGGATTTTGGAGAAAACGCAAGCAGCCTGAAGGAATTTCTAGATGCCACTCGACTCCCTGAAGGGTAAACCAGATTATTCCCTGGAAGGGGGTTTGGACTTCACTGAAGAAGACACTGCACCATCCTTTTCCTCCACAGCCTACGGTACTGAGACTTTAAGAGACGGAAGGGCTTGGTATTGGTGAGAACACACCAAAGGAAACAAACTGTCCTCAAAACTTCCATCCCACCATCATCAGAGTGTGTTCTCAGCATCCAGACTCTTGCTTTTTGGTTACACCTTTCCTGAGCCAAAGAAATACTATAAAGATTAACTATTTGAAGATCAAAACATAGCCAGATATTCTAGAAGAGAATCACGTAGTGGCACCAAAAGATGGGGTACAGCTGCTCAAGGACACCGCCGGGAAAAGATTCGTTAACTGAAAAACGGGAGCTGGAGAAAACGGGACCATGAACCGGCACCATTCGAACGGCAAGGTTCTGTGCTCTAAGTGCCGTGAACACAGCTCCTTTGTGAAAGGAAGACCTTGAATGAACTCAGTGGCAGGTTTTCAGAATAATCAAGAATTCTTGTCCTTTCATTTTTTAACATTAAAAAAAATGAGTTTGGGTAGCAATAAGCTACGAGTGAGTGTGAATGTGGACTCCAGAATTTCTGTGCGGGGAAGGATTAAAGGCAGTAATTCACCTGGAACTGGTACCTTAGGGGACGAATCTTAAAGCTATACTTGCCTAGAAGACTATTTGTGCACAGGTTATATACTTATTTGGCATCATTCTGGGTAGGGGAGGCTGGCGAAGATGAGGAGGGCAAGCAAAAGACTCCCCAAGATGAGCTGCCACTGGGAGTGTGGGCTTATGAAGCTACGTTTATAGATACTGAATGTATTGGACAGAAATCGGCATAAAGTCCACCTGCACTACGGGGGACATGATTTGGGAACAAATGCACGGTTACAGCAGAGTCTTCAGCGTCTTTAAAGAAGCTCCCTGTATTCTAAGTAGCGGGCTTTCTTCCTGAAGTGCTCCCTCTTCTAATTGAGGTGACTTGCTAGCATTATACATATTTCTGTTCCTGGTTCCAGTCTTTTCTCTCCTGCTCCTCAGGGTGTGGCTCTAGTGTCCAATCTACCTGTTCCTTTTGACTCTTTGCCTTCCCCCAAGTGTCACTGCACTGTGATGAGACCGATGGCAGGTAACACCTGGCACGTGGATTCTGGGGACCCACAACTGTCAGAGGGAAGAGGCATTAGTGGGCATCACCACGGAAAGGAAGCCCGGGCTGCCAGGGGCCTCTCCCAGCTCCCCTGCGAGTCAGAACAAGAGCTGAGCCTAGAAAACCCAGGTCTCCTAACCACCGGTCCCAGTTCTCCAGGGGCCTTAACCCGGAAGGGAAGGTGATGCCTGAGTTAGACGGAAGGGCGGCCCCTCTGTCAGGCCATGTGTTTCTCTTGGCTGCTACATACACGTTAGAAGGAGCCGCCGCCCTTACGACCTAACAGGCGTTTTCCATTCAGCTGCTGTTCAGTCTGTGCTCACAGCGCTGACCTTGAAGGCAGCTGCCATACTCGGAGCCCGGATCTGTGCGTTCTCCCCAGATTCGCCTAGACTCCGGCAGCTTCTCGGACAGTGTCGGGGAACAGTGTGCGCTGAAGTAAGGGAGGGGCCCCTTGAGCAGCCTTTTAAACAATCCCACGGAGGGCATGACCATAAGGAAATCATTTCCATCACTGTCATTTCATTCTATCCAAGAAGAGTTAAGGTGGACATTCTGGAGTTGAGTGGACAGCTTGTTAAGTGGCTATCCTAGACTTAAAATTTAGTGGGCCCACCAGTCAGCGACGAGCGTTGTTAATAACAATAGAAACATCCCACTGACTAACAGGAACAGGCATGCAGGTAAGACCGCCACAGACGCACCTCCCGGGCGGGCCTGAGATGTGCCTCACTCCTCGCTATACCTCATCCCCCTTGTTACCACCACGCAAGATGAGGTACCATTATTCCCATTATAACACAGTATCCCGTTATTGTTTTTCCAGAGGGGAAAAAAAAAGATAGAACATCTTGAAATTATTTTCCACTCAATTCTCCACTTCTCCTCTAGATGGCGCTTCAATACCTCCTTTTGCCACATTTTAAACCATAGCATCTGAATGCACTTAATTTATAATACATGTAAACAAATTTTTATGTATATGCAATATCTGGAAACACTAAATCAAATCAACTGCTTTGCTTGAGTAGGGAGGATATAGGTCAGTGGTAGAGTGTGTACTTGGCATGCAAGAGATCCTGGGTTTAATCCCTAGTACTTCCATTAAATAAACAAATAAATAACTCTACCTCCTTAAAAAACAAACAAACAAAAAAAACCCCAATAAATTTGTTTGACTTTTCAAATGTAATTGTTGGAAATATCTAGTCCCTAGACAGAAGTTTTGTCTTGAAATCACATGCTCTAGACTCCCCCAGCTTTAGAGATTTCACCTCCGCTTAGTGATGAGGTGAAGGAGGCCCCAGCGGTGGGTGACAGTGGGTCATGGATCCCAAGCTGTGTCTCCAAAGATCTCTAGGGCTCAGAGGGCATGCTCACCTATTTTCCACCAACCCATTCCCGTGGCCACTTGCCATCTTGCTGAGTCACATGGCTCGGGACTTTTTGTCATCTCTTTGTGGTTTCCTTTGAGCTGCTAGCCCTCCTCCCCCTTCCTACCACCGCCCCACAACCTCTAGTCACTCCCTGCTCCTTCTCCACCACGTGAACAGAATCCCCTCCCCTGATCACTAGAGAGTATCGCAAAGATCACATTGCAATATTTAAAACAAACAAGCAAGAAAAAACTTTTCAATTCTGAAGGCTTGGTGGTAGGAGAAAAAAAGAAAAAACGTACCTCCCCTCTAAACACACACACGCCACACGTTCCGAAGTGGATATGGACACGATAACGCCAAAGCTCCGTGAGTCAAGCCCCCTCACAGAGGCTTCGCGCTGGCTGTGTGCCCCCCTGGCTCCCAGCTTGCAGAGACCAGCTGGCTTGGGGCTGAAGCTTATTCTTATTTCATGACTTTGACAATGAAAGTCTCTTAGGGGCAGAACATCCATCAATATTCGGGTTTGTCCACTACACATGGACGGAGAGAAGGCCAGAGGTACAAATCTTCCCTGACTCGTGGGCAGTGTCTTAATACGTTGGCCAGCTGGCTAGGGGCTTGAAAATTTTTTTTTAAACTGATGGGAAGAAAGTCTAGGGAGGATGGATGTAGGCTGCCAGTCTTGGAAAGGGCAGTGTAAAGCATCAGAGCTTCCACGACGCACAACAAGATGCGCAGTTACTCCGTGCACTGAAGACTGATTCCGGACTCCAGTGTCTAGAACTGAGACATTTCTTGAAACCTCAAAATGTCATGCCTCTCTTGGTCCCCAGTTAGCCTGTCTTCAATTTGTGGGCCTCAAGTTTTCAAACATTACTGTAGTTCAGTCTTAGCTGGAGCCCCCATAACAAAATTGTAATTCCCACTAACCAGAGATACTCAGGTGTTGGTGAGGTCAAGTTGTGCAGAGCGTCTGAAAACTTCCTAGGCTCCATCTTTATCTGGCTCCCTTAAAGCTCTTCAGAATCTTCTGGCCCCCGGCTGTGCCTGGACGTTGCAGGGACGGGCTTGACACGCCTCCCCAGTTCATCCACTACACCGTTAAACTAGAATCGCCACCTTCTGTGGAATTTGAAAAAACAGGTCCCTTCAGGAGGTCAGTCCAGATGACGCCCCTCTGCAAAGAGGTGCCTGCTGGACAGGTGTCTGAGTGCCATACATTTGAGGAAGAAATGAGACCTTAGGAAGTCATATTGTATTCAAACGTAAGCCATTAAGCTGTTTATCTAAGGAGAAGAGTACAGCCTGTTAGAATACAGAGCAAACTTTTACATACAAGTGTTATTTCAGAGTGGATTTCGGCTCAAGTGCTCCTCTCCAGTTACCTCAGGGCAATAAGCTACAAAGCAGAAGACTCAAGATGTAATTACCAAATACGTTCAGGACTCCTAGAGACAAGCTAACCAAACGAACTCTCCTGCCCACTATCCAATTCGTCCCGGAATAACCATTACAATTGATTTTGAGGCTTGTAACGATCATATTTTAGTACTGTAGGCAAGAGATGGGAAAGAAACTTTTAAAACACAATTGTTAGTTGTATAAACGAGCCATGTTAAATGATGTTTCATCAGGAGAACTTATTCAAATGTTATTATATTTCAGGTATTTCAATTTTTCCTTTAAGAAACAATAGGTGAATCTAAAATATACTCATTCATGAATTTTAAAACAAATATCAACTTCTGTAAAGATTTTTTTTGTTAATGTACACCTAAAAATGTGGTTACCTCACTAGCAGTGGATCAAGTCATGTAAAATGCCTGTTAAATATTTATTATGTGTTTAATGCTGAAAAGCTTTCTGTTTTTAACTAGTGAAAGCTTTTGCCTATGTTCACACTCAAATGATCAAGAATAACCATTTAACAGTCTTTTAAATATTTAGACATTTTAATGGTATTTTCCGACTGTAAATACAGGATACATTTCTTGAAGAAACTTGTAAAATACACCAAAATACAGAGAAATGAATAAAAACCACCTCCATGATCCTAATGCACTGCTCGTATTCTGACTTTAATTCTTTCCAGTCATCTTTATGTTTCTAGAACACAGTAAAGATAACTTAAAAGGGAAACTACAGAGCAATGTCATGTTCGAATACAGATGGAAAAATCCAACATGAAACACAAGCATGTAGCATCCAGATTTGGATTTAAAAATGAGATAAATCATATTGTTCAATGTAAATGTCAGGTTCTTTTGGTAAACAGTTCCCATAGTTAGAGGAATGTCGCTGCTATACATCTGCTTTTCCCACTAACTCCCTAGAAGATGGTATGTGACAGAGAAAGCAAGTCTTAGACCAAATTTTGCCAAATATACCAATATTTATTAACAAGCACGTACAAAACTGTTATACTACGTGTTCTCATGGCTTTGGGGCGTCCTGCCCTCTGTCCTCAGGCATGGAAGGTTTACTGAGAGAGGGACACAAAGTTCTGATCGGAGGACCGGTCAACCTTGAGGTGAGGCTTAGCAGACAAATCCAGGATCAGTGAGGTTCCCGCTCTAGACCTTGAACTCAACACCAAAGACCCAAGTCTAGGACTTTAAGCTTCTTACACTCTATTCATGCAAGGGTCATGGGAACTATGCATATGTTCCTAGCCAGCCAACATCCACCCTCAACATCACAATTTTGCTAACAAACTCTCTTGTGTAGATTTTGATAGCATCTTTGGAAATACTGAGTAACCACCTCTGGACTGTTGATTCCTTATTAGGGCTCATCAAATGCTAAGCAACCACTCCTCGGTTATTGTTCAGGGTAACCTGTCGCACAGACACATCACACTGTTTACATGAGCTTCCTCAGCCTCATTCTTCCTTCCTTTCTCCAGTTTCAACCCAAGAGTCAAAGTGACCCGGTTAAAACGTAAGTGTGCTCATGTCACTCTTTTGCTCAAAAGCTCTCAGTGACTCCTCTTTACACTCAAAACAAAACGCAGCATCCGTGCAATGGCCAATCAGTTCCTACATGATAAGTGCCCAGCGTACACAGAGGAGAGACTTAACAAATATTTTTGCATGAATAGCCATCACTGACACAATACCCTTTTTATGTCCTTATCACAATAAAATATATCTTATGTGTTTTTTTGTCTATTTTATGTCAATGGTTCCTATTTTTTTTTGGCATGTGAAAATTCGTTACTATTTGGATTTTACCATCAAAACTTGCTTCTGAAACACAGTAGGTTTTCAGTGACTATTTGTTGAATGAATGAATACATGAATGAGTAAATGAATCAGCAGAGAGCCCATGGCTTCTTGCTGGTTTATTATAAATATCTATTTATAAAGCCAGAGCAACATAATATTTATAATTCACAATGTTTTTCTGTTTTCCCATGCTTGTTATTGGAAATTCAAGTTTCTGTGTAATTTTCCCCAGTAGAAGATTATTACCCTGAAAGATCTGTCCCCAGGAACAGACATTTGTCATAAATGAGAGTGCTGCCATTAATACGCCAAACAAACGGCTGAATAGATTCTTCTATTCTCTAAAAGGGACTCTATTATAGGTCAACCAAATGTTGAGATTTAGTTAGTTCTTTTTTAAAAAAACGCTGTTTTAAGCTTGGGGTGGGTCTGAGATGTGCTTTGAAACAAAAGAGAATGAAATGGTGCCCTCCCTGCCGCTCCCGCTGTGCGCGCTGCCCAAGAAACCTCTGTGGCTCTAGAAAGAGGTTGGGAGACCACAAAGGGGGGCTCTCACACCCCGTGAGGCTAGCAGAGCCCAAAAGGAAGAAAGACTCCTCTTCTTTCCTGGCAAGGACTTGGCCAAGAAAAAGCCATGGACTTTGTTTATGACAGCCCTCCCCACTTCCTTTCCCTCCCTAAAAAGATGTTGTCCTTTTTTTGCTGTGTGGGGACCTGCATGTGGCTCCCTGTGGTTGCAGACCCTGAACTGCAATTCTCTGCTGATCCCATCTTTGCTAGAGAAATATCTGGCAGTCAACACTTCCAAAGGATAGAGTGTGGAAAGGGCTGAAAAAGTAATTTCACATTGATAAAACCAGGTAGGTGATCATGTTTCCCTTTCTCTTGGGTATATATACCTAGGAGTGGAATCACTGGGTCATACGGTAACACTATGTTTAACATTTTGAGGAGCTGTCAAACTGGTTTTGAAAGCAGCTGCAGCATTTTACATTCCCACCAGCAATGTTCGAAGGTTCCAATGTCTCTACATCTTTGTTATTTTCTGTCTTTTTGATTACAGCTATCCTAGCGAGTGTGAAGTGGTACCTCACTGTGGTTTTGATTTACACTTCCCTAGTGATTAATGACGTTAAGAAGATCTTCATGATTGACCGTTTGTATATTTTCTTTGGAGATAAGTCTAGTCAAATCTTCTGTACATTTTAATTGCATTATTTGCTTTTGATTATTGAGTTGTAAGAGTTGTCCATAGGTTCTGGATATTAGTGCCTTGTCAGATATATGGCTTGCATATATATTTATGCCATACTGTGGTTTGTTACTTTGTTGATGGTGTCCCATGGAGGACAAATTTTTAAATTTTGATGAAACCCAATGTACCTATTTTTCCCTCATTTCTTGTAATGTTTGTGTCATATCTAAGAAACCACTAATTCAAAGGCATAAAAATTTATTCCTATGATTTCTTCTAGGAGTTTTATAGATTTAGCTCTTAATAAAAAACAATTTTGAGTTGATTTTTGTGTATAGTGTGAGGTAGGGGTCCAAATTCCTTCTTTTCCTTGTAGATACCCAGTTGTCCCATCATGATGTGTTGAAAAGACTATTTTTTCCCCATTGAATGGTCTTGGAAAACGTGTCAAAAATCAGTTGACCATAAATGTGAGGGTTTATTTCTGGACTTTCAATACTATTCCACTGATCCTCATCTACCCTATGCCAGTTTCCCACAGTCTTAATTACCATAGCTTTGTAGTTAGTTTTGAAATTGGGCAATGTGAGTCTTCCAACATTATTCTACTTTTGATCTTAGAGATTAGGTCACAATCATTGGCCTGTTTCCTTTCTCATTTGGGGCCTCATTTGAGCATCATCCATCTCTTTCCATCACTCAAACATACAAGAAATGTTTGTAGAAGCAGTGGATGCTTCTCATGGAGAAGAGGCTGTATTCCTCTGGCTGCAAAAGATGACATAACAATGCACATTGTAAGGAGAAGAAAGGACAGGCCAATTTCCAGAGAGCGAGACTGGTTTTTGGCAGTGCTGGTAACTCGGGCAGGCTGAGATTACACTGTGAATTCCCATCCCAACAAAGGAGAGGGAAAAAAAATCCAATTTGAAACCAGCTTTGACTAGATTTTGTTGCAAAATAGAATGTTATATCGAGCTAAATAATTCAAGCTTTTAATCAGAGCATACAGACTGTGTGGGACATCCACTCTCCGAAGGCAAGAGCCTGGCGATTACGATTTCAGCTGCTTGATTCTCTGCTTGCTTATAGCCTCCACCTGGCCACCCCAGAAAACTGCCAGCACCAGCAGGTCCCCCAGAGCTCACCTTCTGGAGCAGATGGGCTGATCTGTGGAGCCAAAGAGCCTCTCCTCGCTCCCTCATTTTTGGTTCATCAGATACAAACTACTATACATAAAAGAGATAAGCAACAAGGACCTACTTTAGGGCACGGGGAACTACATTCAACATCTTGTAATAACCTATAATGAAAAAGAATATATATATGTATAACTGAATCACTATGCTGTACACCTGAATCTAACATGACATTGTACATCAACTAATCTTCAATAAAGACAACTAAAAAAAAAAATAACAAAAAGCCATTAGAGAAGATTCTCAATACTGTTCATGATGAAGTAAAACCAGTCTTTTCTATTGGAAAAAGTGGTTGTCCAACTCAGGAGAGGTCTGTTAGGGGGGCACAGAAGGAACTTTCTGGAAGGGGTTAGACCTGTCCCTTGGTTTTCCACCCTGGCCCCTCCTCCAGCCTCTCGCATGCAGCCAGCCTGGCACTGCCTGTCCTGCCCTGTAGGGGGCAGCGCCTCCCATGCTCCAGGGCTGCCAGGGCTGCAACCACACAGTTGACCTGGAGTCCTTGTGGACAGTCAGCAACATCTTCCTCCTCAGTACTTGGTCTGATGCAGAAGCAAAAATAAAGCATTTCAATATTTATTTAACGACCTTTCTTGTTGGCCTGCCCTTTCGTTTACAATGTATATTTATTCATATTTTAGATCTATCACTACAAAGCAGAGAACTAAGTTGCAAAAGGAAAACGATAATAAAGGAAAGCACAACTCGCATTCCTGAGAGATACTATTATTCAGTGAGAAAGTAGCTTTCTCAGGACGAGCTCCTATTCTGGGCTACACTGCTGCCCGGTGCCTGCCTCTGTCTAGAACTTACTGTGCTGCACTGTAATCAGAGGCTGGCCCGTGTGTGCCCCTCCGCTCATGGGCTTCTTGTGTGCCCTGTTCCACCTGCTCCCCTGCAACACAGTGTCTGGCTCCCCATAAACACTTAACAGAGGTTTGCCAAGTATTGCACACAAACGCATTCAAAAAAAATCAGAGGGATCAAGCATTAGTGCAACTAAAACAGTAAGAGCTGGGCTATTTTGCAGAGTCCAGTGATGGATGTGTAAGAAGAATTTCTTTTTTACTTAGCTTTATTTTAGCTTCTGTCTTCTCACTGCTCCGAGCACTGGGGGAAAACAACATCCCTTGAATTTCCGTTTACTCCACCTGTTTCATATGTCGAAGTAGGTAGGTACATGTCTCCACGGATAATGAGCAGATGGAATCAGAGGTACCATCAGCCAGCCCATAGAAAGCTGAATATTAGCAAGGCAGCCTGCAAGATGAAATCACCTTTTTGGTAAATTTAGATGGCCTTTGATTTCATGGCTTCTAGAAATTTATTTAGCACCCCATAGGCTAGACATTAGCACCAGCTTTAGGTCCTTTATCTTATCTCAGACAATATTGG